TTTTAACCCAGCGCTGGGTTATATTTAACCCAGCATTTTTTAGAGTGTAGTATACAATATATAACACCCACAAATGCTGAGTTTTTAATTTAAAACTTTTCATATTTAATTAAATGAGTGTATTTATTTATATAAAAGATATTTATTATGTTTTAATGTTGCTTTTGTCATTTTGTAGCTTGACAAACCATACTGTGTATTGGAAACAGAGGAATGGATGTTCTTCAAAACGTTTATTTCACAGATGAAAGAAAGTCATATACAGAAAGACATGAGGATGAGTAAATGATGAGGTAACACTTTACATTATGGTCCCATTAGTAAACTTTAGTTAATAATGCATTAACTAACAATGAGCAACACTTATTATTCTTTTTTTAAGCATTAATACACTCTAAAAAATGCTGGGTTAAATACAACCCAGTGCTGGGTAAAATAGGGACAAACCCAGCAATTGGGTTGTTTTGACCCAGCGGTTGGGTTACTACCCAGAAGGTTGGGTTAAACATTTAACCCAACCGCTGGGTCAAAACAGCCCAATTGCTGGGTTTGTCCCTATTTTACCCAGCACTGGGTTGTATTTAACCCAGCATTTTTTAGAGTGTAATAGTGATTCAGCGAGGCAATACAGGCTGTATAGGGCCTTGACCCTAAGCATCTGTTCTACTGGATAAAAGTTTTGCAGGCTGGGACTCAACGAGATTCCTGACCCCAGTGCAACCCCTGCTCCAGAATCAAAACAAATCAGACCCTTATATGCTCCAGTGCAACCTACATCTGCACTTGTAAATAATATAAACCACTACAAAGTGTGGTAAAACATGCCTTAATTTAATCACCTGTGCTTCCGTTCAAATCAAAAATACCCTGGACAAAAAGCAAGTCAGTGTATGAGGCCAGAACTCAGCAGTAATAGTTTATTATTATTATTATTTTTTTTTGTGGATATACATTTATTATACAACACAGGACAATATTACACATGACAATTTCTGACTCAAGAGAGAAAAAAAAACAATTAAAAGAAAATTGTTGATTTATAGGCCTGTATCAAAATGTGCTTAATTTGTGTAATTGCGATCTTATTTCTTTATTTGATTTCTACATAAAGTATCATTCAGAGGTTAAGGGTAGGTCATATTTTTTAAAAGAAATTAATACTTTTATTTAGTAAGGAAGCGTTAAATTGATTAAAAGTGACAGTAAAAACTTTTATAGTTACAAAAAAATATTTCAAATAAATTCTGTTATTTTGAACTTTCTACTTATCAAAGAATCCTGGAAAATGTATTTAATAACAGCAACTTTATTTCTCACAGTTATGACTTAATATCTCACAGCTGTGACTTTACTGCAACTTTATTTCTTATAAATTTGTCTATTTCTTGTAGTGTGACTTTATATCTTATAATTATATAATTATTATTTTATGTAACTGTGACTTTGTTTCTCTATCATTTCAGCTATAGGCCATATCTCACAGTTGTGGTGTTACATAAATCCTTATTTCTCATAATCATTCTTTTTATCTTACAATGTGACTTATTTTAACTTTTAAACCACAATTCCTTTTTTTTTTTTTTATACTCTAAGAAAACATGTGATTTTGAAATATTTGTGACAAGACATTTGAGATCTGATAGCTCTGAAATGCAAGCCACCATAGTGTCATATTTCATACAGGACATTGTAATATTGGATTAATACATACGAATGATGCTCATGATTCAATAAGTGAATACCTGCTTGCATAGTCATCTGATGCCACTGCTTTGTATTTCGTGCATGTAGTCGTTTAGCCTAATAATGTATTTGTATGTCTGCCACGATCGCTGCACATTATTATGACGCATAATGATCATGGCCATTCACACGTAACAGTTACCTGTTACCTTTAGCCATAATACGGAAGCTCTTGTGCTGCGTTAACTAACAAGTATGTAATCACTTCTGTAGGGAATTTAATCCGCTTTATACATGCATTTAGTGTTTATTAACTCCTCAGAGCGGGTGAGATGGACTCATCTCCATGAAGCTCCGTGTCTGCGGGCCTTGCGCTGAAAATAACATTCCAACTGCAGCACTGCCGCTTGTGTTATCACGTTCAGATCATGAACTACTTTGAAGGGGCTTAACGACGCACGAATGTGTTCGTATCTTGTGCTATCGACACCTAAAAGCGCCACCAAATCGAACAAAACGAACTGAAGTCCCTTCGCTTCACCACACCTAGCAACAGCGCCGCTGCGACGCAGGAAGTGAGTGTGACTGTGGAGCGCGCGAGCCGGCCATTGCTGCTGCGCGCTGCAGCGGCACAGATTGTGCTTCCGCGAGCGCACTTACCGATGTGATTATCCTCGATGTGCACGATGAGCTCGGCCAGCGACTCGAAATGCAGTCCACAGCCCCCGAACTGGCAATTGTTGGAGAAGAAGGAGGCGGCGGCGGCGATGCCTGTCATGGTTTTTGCTACATCGAGGAGCAGGCTCAGTCAAAACCTCAGGCAGGCAGATAAACAGCGGCGGCAGCAGCAGCTGGAGCAGCTCAGGACGAGAGAGAGAGAGAGAGAGAGAGAGAGAGAGAGAGAGAGAGAGAGAGAGAGAGAGAGAGGGGGGGGCGGGGAGGGACCGAGGAGGGACCACTGGCGCACACGTCATACCTGTTGATATGAAATACTGCACACTAGTTCTGCTCCATAAGCCATTGTGCGTGTCTTTATTAGTGTTTCTTCACTTCACTACTTGAAATCTTAAAAAAGACTATCTATCTATCTATCTCTCTATCTATCTGTCTGTCTGTCTGTCTGTCTATTAATTTTTAAACATATTTTGCCATTTATCATAAAGGTATCAAAAAGTATGGACAGAAGAAGCCACAAACTGTGAAATTCTGATTTAATTGCATCACTCTTAACAATTAGTAGTAATTTAAGAAAAACAGTAAAAAATTCAAGCTTATAGGCCTATAATTTATAAAATATTGAATTATAAATTATATGAGCTTAAATATAATTATGTAATTTATATTTATAAATTAATAAGCTTTTAAAAAGTTCCCTAATTGAACCAAAACTTGAAAATTGTGTGTGTGTGTGTGTGTGTGTGTTTGCAAAGCGGGAAACTGACTTTGATTATGTGCTTTGCAAATACAGAGAAAAATTTCTGTGGTTGGGTGAGGTGGTCTCCCAAACGTAATAAAAAAAAAGTTTGTGTAAAATGTAAAATAACTGTAAATAACTGTTCATAGGAAGTAAATGCAGTGCAGTAGAAATCCACATGGTGGCAGTGTGGAATTACCAACGGAAATGCTCCTTTCAACAACAATGACATTTCAGATTCGAAGCAAAACATCCTCTTAATAAACGCTGTAATATCACTGTACCAAATCATGGTGGTACCATAGTACTTTCTGAAAAATAAAATAAAATAAAATAAAATAGGCCTAAATAAACTTTTGCTATTTATATTTAGAATAGAAGGTGGTCAACATATGATGATCTGTATTCAATAAATATAATTTTATAAATTAAAACTTGAATGATTTTGAGCTTCTCTACTATCATCAAGCTCCTAAGGTATCTCCTAAAGCTCCTAAAACCAACATCACTGTTGGTTTGTATGATCAAGCTTCTCATTCAGCTCAAGCATTTTGCACGGTCTGCATACAGTACGTTCAATATTCTATACATTTAGCCGCAAATAAATTCACTTCTTGAGGCAGAAAGGCTATAAATGGCCGCGTGGTCACACAGATGACTTGATCACTATATAGCGTTTCTCTGTCAGTAATAGAAAGCCCCAGTGGTGTGGACTACATTATGGTTGTTTTCTTTCCTCTTACTCGCGTTCACATCCATGTGCTTCATCCCTCTCTCCCACTCTCTCGCCGCCTCTGTTTTTCCATGATTTCCTGTTCACGTTTGTTGGCAGAGGTTGTTGGTGCTGGTGTTGTGCCCAGTACTGTGTAATGGGGACCTTGTTGGGTTGGGCCCCATTTAGGTACTCACCACAGCCGAGCGCAGCATGGGCAGCTGTGCACCCTGATCGGCCTGCTTTTTCCAGCAGCGCTGGAGCACGCTGTAAGCCATGTCTGTGAAAGCATTACATCATTGACTCGCTCTGTTTTGAGGCTCTCCAGAGCTTACAGCCTTCAATTTTGCTTTCAATTCTGTTAAATTTGTCACCCTGAGACTTTTGCGATTATTGATGAGATTCAGATCCTTTTGTTTAAGGTCACATATTTGGGGGAAAGTTGACTTTTCAATATCTCAGTATATTTTCATGTTAGCCTATTAGCCAACAGGAAGTAGATGGCTTAAAATTGCTAATGGTATAAAGCCGACAGTATCATATTTGATACTTCTAAAGACTCTGAATTATCAACATGATCAACACTTCACCCCCTAAATTTATTGGACACAATCTACATCTGATTGACAGTTAATACTTTTTTAGCAAGTAAAAGGATGTTTAGTATAATTCCAACAACGTCTAGGTCGAGGTACAAGTGTCTTTTTGCTGTGAAATTTAATTAATAAAGTAAACATAAGAATACATTTTATATTGTTAGTAATATTTCAAGATGAACACTGAAGCAACTTAGGTTTACTTGATTATCCATACATCATTTTTATTGATTTACATTACAATATCATTCAATAACTGCACCATAATGTATCAGCCATAAAAGCCTGATGTATCAAATATGATGCAAAACATAAAACATATGCAAACTTTATATATATATATATATATTTTTTGTCTAAAAATTCAATAAACTTTTCCATTTAAAAAAGTGACTTATTTCATATGTCAGGCTTTATGGGGTTGAAACCCTTAGACAATTTAAAAGCAGCCTCCTCCCTTATAAAACATGAGTTGCGATCAGCTGCTCTTCATTTACGGCTGTTCTTTTTACCATATTGTCCTAAATTTGGTTCAAGATCACACAAACAGAAGCTATTCTGTGAAGACTGATAGGGTAAAGACACTGGCATTGAATATTTTGTTATTTCAAAGGTCCACAAAGTGTAATTAGGTCTCCTAGTGTTACCAAACGTAAAACCCCAGACCCTATTAAGGAAGCAAATGACATAATGTTCAGAAACATAACTATTACAAATACTGGCCTTCCCTCGTTGGCAGCGGAAAATGCAGAATTCAGACGCGCATGGCATCATGCCCTCACCACTGCAGTCATACTGTATAAACTACTCAGAAATGCTGTCGTTCATTATGTAATGGCTGCATTGTTCACTTCAAATGGTTCCAGTGCACATTTTGTTGGTAATAGCATTATAATGTGCTGTGTGGTTTTTAAACGCTTGAGTGTGGTACAGTGGTAGGCCTGTAGTATTTGTCAAAAGGTTGCCACAGGTTTTGAAATCACATGCAAGTCCTCAGGATTTTGGTTTTATTTTACCTGATTGCTCAATATACATTTCGAATGGGCTTTTCAAACTGCTCTTAAGCCCAGGTTATCATGTTTTAAACCTACACTCCGGTAAAGCATTTTACACGTAATTTTGGAGAACAGGGTTAGCACTGTTTTCTCATTTTCTTTCTTTGTTTTAGAATGTAAGGGCCACCTGTTCAGCAAGTAACAACCAATCATAAACTGAACCTCATTCAATATTAATTCACTTTGCACAGTTACAGAAACATTCACACACTGTATTTTGTTTCAGCATTTGTGGGAAAATGTGTTAATTGGAGTGAAGAACAGACTTTACATTTTACAGTTATGGTCCAAAAAGTCTGTTCAGGACAAACTAGATGGTGCAGTCAGGAATAAGCGAAACAGATGCATAAGATCAAGATAAGAAGTTATTTAAAGTCACAATGTAATGGAAGTAGTGACCGATCTTTTTTCTGTATTTTGACATACATCTGAGTCAAACCGATTATCGGGTGTTTTTACTGGATGATCCAGTTATGACATTCTGATAAAAATTTTAAAGAATTAATAAATCATTCACATAAAAAAAAAAACTTGAATGAATCATTCACATTAAGATCTATAACATTCATTCAGAAAAGTGATTGTGTGAATTTTCATTTCATGTCGATTTCAAACAGGTTGTTTGAATTTGTAAATGAGAGCATTAACCCATTCTTTATAAATGTAAACCGTGAAATCTTGATACCGGATCAGTAAAACTGATCAGTGTGAAATCCAGAATGACTTGGTGTTAACAATCTTTTGTAAAAAGATGGAATTTCTGCTGGCTCCAAAATCTAGATGACCTATTAATAGTGCAGAGTAATGCAGTTTCATTGTGACATCACTTCCTCTGACATTTGCACTAAATGAAGTGCAGGGCAACTTTCCATATCAAATAATGTTTCTAAAAGTGTTCTCCTGAGGTAGACCACCATTTCGAGCAAAACAAAGAGTATTGTTGGGGGAGTAGATTTGTGTTATTACACAAAGCATACCTCAACATTTCCATCCCTGCAGGCACTTCAAGACATGAAGATGACTCAACTGAGAGAGGCTGGAACGTTCCATCAAGAAGATGAAACAGCCAATCTAATGATCATTCTTAGAAGCATTCAAACCTGAGGCAAAATGCTGCTTAAACAAATCTGAATTAAGAATTCAAACAGCCATGTATGTTTTTCTTTGAGATGTGTATTTTATGACTATTAGGTGCATTCAAGTGAATGTAAAATACATCTTGAGTTATGACATAACACTGGATTCAAACAACTGCCAAAATTAGATACACTTCTGGCCCTTATGATACATCTGGTTACATGTCATGGTCAGCCACACACACACACACACACTGCTCTGCTGCATCTGAATGGGTTTGTTTTGACTAACTATATCTTGAAAAACTCCTTGTATTCTGTAAATATAAACAATAATTATTAGTTCTTGCCCGACAGGGCCTTCATTATACCACTGACATTTGATATGTTAATTTTCTGCTTTTGAGCTGATGGGATATTGTTTTTGTTTGGGTGTTTGTTTTTGTTTGTTTTACTTCTCCGGTGTTGTAACCTTAGTTGCGGTGTTGATCATCATGTGCTATTGGACTGATGTAAATATGTGGATCCATTTAGAATAAATAAATATTACATGTTAAATGAACCCTTAATTAAAAATCTGTATTCTACACCTATAAAAGTGCAGTTTACATTCTAATATGTATTTAAATGAGGGAAAAAAAAACTTCTACAGTTTCTAGACTTATGTGTGGGTGTCTGTGAATCTCCTGAACTGATGTAACCGCAACAAATGTTCTCCTTGCAACCATTCCAGTCTTCTGAATGCAATTAAACTGTTCTGCGACATGTTCACCATCAAAGGCGAGTCTAGTTCAGTCCAAGGTCAACTTAAGTCAAAGAGCTGATTAAACACATGATCTCTCGCTTGTGTTTGTTGACAATGAACCTTTTTGGATGAGGTTTTCTGAAGTCTTCTGTCTCGTGAATCAACGCTCTGATGTCAAATTGCAATCAGGTTTCAGCTGTCGTGTTCTCAAATTGCGGTTCCTGGGATGGGCCATCTTAAGTGCGAATTTCTTATCATTCAGCTAAATTGAGCGTATTCTGCCATAATGATTGATTATACGACTGATGGCTGATGAGATGATAGATAAGAAAAAAAATTCAAACCCAATTAGACCCGACATAAAAATTAGACTTTTTCACCTTTTCCTGGCAAACTGAATTAGACGTTAGGGGACAGACTAAACTGCCATGCATTAGAGATAAAATCTTTTAAAGTGTGGGGTCAGTGACCCGTCACTGACTGTGCACTTATGCCACTTACTGCACAGCTCTCCCACGGGATGATGTCTGGATGGCTGGGAGAAATATATAGACCATGAAGGAACAAAAACTGTCATAAAGCTTTGATTAAGGCCCAGGTTAAAAGACACAGGCAAGCGAAATGGCTGAGTTATGATGGCAGTTGAGGCTATTGTTCCCGTGACAGAGCTCTAAGCACGGGTGGCTCATTGCAAACAGCTCTTTTCCGAGGAGCAGACAGTCATTAATCGCCAAAGCAATCCCAGACTCCTCCGGTGTACCCTCAACATCAGAAATCACACTGCCGCCACCAGCACATTCGCTAAAGCTTGAAAGGTTGTGACTCTGTCTACTCTCAGCAGCTTGTGACTCTTTTTATTTTTACCCTATAATAGCTGACGTGTCAGTTTAACAGCTACGATGAACCTCATGACCGTTTTCTTTGTTACTGTCTCTTGCAGGTAAAAATATACTAATAAAATGACAGTATATTAGATTAATAGTTCTACAGCAGTTTTAATAACATTTTGACCCCCCCCCCAGCAACGTCTAAGTACTGACTGATTTTAAAAGTCAAAAATAATGTTACTGCTGAATCAACCTAAATACTTTAATTTATAACAAAACTACATTTTATGGCTTAAATCGGGCAGAATCTGGCTCTTTAAGGTAACAACTGCAGTTTTTACAATGTATAGTTTTGCCCTTAAACTAATCTTTAACATTTTTTTAAATGTATGGTTCATTTGGTAACGCTTTGAAATAAGGCCCTATTAGTTAATGTTGGTTAATGAATTAACTAATATTAACTAACAATTAGCAAAACATTTGTTACAATATTTATCAATCTCTGTTAATGTAAAAATGTTTTATTAATATTGAATCTATTCATTTTAGTTCATGTTAGCTCAGATTCGTTATATAATATTAACAGATACAGCTTCTGTTTTTAATGTGATAGTAAATGTTAAAGTTAACATGAACTAAGATTAATAAATGCTTTAGATGTATTTTTCGTTGTTAGTTTACATTAAAGGGATTGTTCACTAAAAAATTTAAATTCTGTCATCAAAAGACGATATTTTGAAGAGTGTGATTTTTTTGTTACCAAAGATTCAAAGCCATTGACTTCCATTGTATTTTTTTTTTTTCTGGAAATCAACCGTCAACTGATACATTCTTCGAAATAACTTATTTTGTGCTCAGCAGAAGAAAGAAACTAATTTTTCATTTTTTGGGTGAACTATTTCTTTAACTAATCAAGCTAACTGGAGCCTTACTGTAAAGTGTTACCAGTAATTTTCTATGTATCATATGTTATTTTGTTTGCCAACATTTGAGTGTAGACTTTGTGAATGATTTAATACTATATGTTTTGTAATACCAGCACCTGTTTACAGTTGGAATTAATAGAAAGTACTGAATGTCACAGAAATAAACAAAGGTATTAGTTTGTTTGTCCTTCGATGCCACCTGCATCGCATTACGTCTGCCTGGCAATTACCTGCAGACAAAGGAGTCAGAGCTTTGATTCTGTAACACCATCTTCTAAATTCAACACTTGCAGGCAGACATAATCCAACCAATAATTTATTTACCCCTGACACTTTCATTATTTAGTAAGCACAGAGGCACTGGCAAGATGTGCACAATTAACAGACCTTGATAACTGAGCTGGGAAGTTTGGTGTCTTTAGTCTGTGCATGTTACGTCTCCTGTAAAAGAAAAAAAAAAGGAAATCAAAATCATCAAGTCATCAGCATAATATACAGCATAACAGGTTAGTTGTTCATCAAATATTAAAATGAAAAATGTTCAAAATATTTGACTGTAGCTATAATTTAGCTATATATAATTTATTATATAATTTACTAATTTAATATTAATACACAATTCAAGTGTTAGCTTCAATAATTGAACTAAACTGTTTATTTAGTTGTTTAATTGTCTATGTAATAATTGAAAAAATATATAGAATCAATTGAGAATATTTATCTCATGATCATAAATTCTTTTATAAGCAGTGTATGACTAACTCACTGCTGCGAACAACAATAGCAACTTGAAGGAGTCAAGACAGATGTTGGTTGGTGTTGCCGTCCGGCCGCCACACCCACTGGTCCTCTTTCCTCAGTCCAACGTGGTTCCTTCAGAAAGTGTGCTGCATCTTCTCCAGACTTCTGCGGTGAGTTGTTTGAGTTGTTTTCCATACCGATACATCAATTCCTTCGCATTCACATGCACTTGCCGAGTCGGTGCCATTGAAATAATCATTCTCTTGAGCCTGAAGAAGTGACAAGTTGTTGGAGATTCACATAAACAAATTTCAAGTACTTTTACAGAGTCTGTCTGAACGCGTCTATTTAAGTCGTTCACGTTCCATGCTGAAAACAAACTGATCATGACTTATTCTTCTCGGATCTCCAGGGAATGTTTGCATGTAACAGCTTTGCGCGTTGAATTTGCTTTGAATACCCAAATTGCGCGTTAAGGGATCGTGTCGCATTAAACAGCTCGCTTCTTCTTCTTGATTCTGATATCAAAACGTATGTTGTTGCATGGTGCAAAACTTTACGCGGAGTTATTGGTGTGCGCGCAAGAAGCTGTCAAACACGGTCGGTGTCTTACAACAGTTTTTTACTTCGCTTGTCTTTGTATGTGCATGTTTGTGGCAAGCCACTTTAGCACTTAACCTATTCCTTTAACGAACTCATTTTTGGTACTAGTAGCTACTTATTTCTAAATACTAGTAAGAAATCAAGTAGGGACTAGTATAGTTTTCAGTTTCACTAGTAACTATTCATTACGTGTACTTTAGTTACTAGTAACTATTCAAACAGTATCTGTTCTAGTTTCCCTAGTATCAGTAATTGAATAGATACATTCATTGTAGACTAGAATTTTTTTTTAATCTTATAAGTATATAAAGTAGCAATTAAGACAAGGCATCAGCGCATATATTAACAAAAATACAGTAAGAAATGTTACTAAAATAACAATTAAGATCAGTGCTAGACAGTGTATTGTAACTAGGTAGGCTACTCAGGACAAAATATATACCTGGAATAGATAGCAGGAGTAGCTATTCTTAAGCCCTATTCGCACGGGATTAGTATTACCTGGTGACCTCCAGTCATTTGTCTGTTTATTGGTAACTTACAAATATGAAAAATAAATAGGCTAGTTACTGGAAACAGTAATATTTACAGTTCAAATGGGTTCCACCAACATAATATGGATATCTATGATGTCTAAACCAGATCCAAACCGAATCCAGTGTCGAAAATGCAATTTGACTCCAGTAACAATGGAATAGTTAATCGAATAAGTAATGAATATGTACTAGTCACTAATTGAAAAAGATACCTGGTACTATTGGACTACTTAACAGTAGAAATAAGAAATGTTAAAGGGGTCATATGATGCAATTTCAAGTTTTCCTTTCTCTTTGGAGTGTTATAAGCTGTTCGTGCATAGATAAGATCCCTAAAGTTGCAAAGACTAAAGTCTCAAAACCAAAGAGATATTCTTTATAAAAGTTAAGACACGTCCACACCCTCCTAAAACGCCTCGTTTAAACACGCCCCCACTCACACGCTTGAGGTATTCGGCCAATCATAACGTACTGGATAGCTGGCCAATCAGTGCACACCTCACTTTTCAAAAGGATGAGCTTTGTAAAAATTGATGCGTTTCAGAAAGGCGGGGCATAGAGGAGCAACAATAATGTACAGTATGTGGAAAATAATGTGTTTTTTGAACCTTAAACCACATAATCACATTTCATTACACCAAATACACAAAATAATGTTCTTTTTAGCAACGTCATATGGCCCTTTAAAAGGAATAATAAATATTAAAATGGCTTGCCACAGCGCGTGTGTTGTGTCCCGTTTGCGCTGTGACAAGTGTTCTGCATTGTTCCTCTAAAGCGGTCCGGGACAATTAGTTTGTAGCGTTGAACCTGTTTTGTTTCATTCATCAACATGCAGAAACTGAGGATCTTCGCTTGTCTCTGAATACTCGTGCACCGTTATTATTCCGTCTCGAACAAGAGCTATCGCGACTGTCAGAGGGGTTCCAGTCCAGTCCAGTCCGCTGTTTTATGATACAAGAATGGCTGTATGAATCTTCGCACTGAATCGCACGTTTTATTTTGTAACATTGTTACATGAAAGCAACGTATCGAAGCATGACGTCATAATGCAGGCCAGTCAGACTGTTTGATTAACCGTCGAGATATTGAGGCTTTCAGCGGTTTGTGCTGACGAGGCAAACTCTTTTCTAAAAGCCTAAAGGCTTAAAAGATTTTAATCCACTGACACGAAGTTTGTCTGGGTTCTTTTTTTTTTTTTTTTACAACACAAATAAATGTTTGTTTGTAGAAAAGTACAGAAAAAATGTAGGCCTATATTAATTATAAAAAGTAAGCGTTATATTTACAGATAAACTATAGCTTCATGCAGGGAGGAAAATTAAAATATGAACTTATCTATCTCATTGCTTCTAGGATGAAGATTAAGTGAGTAGTTCACCTAAAAATGAAAATAATTCATAATTTCTCACTTTCATGTTGATACAAACCTGTTTTAGTTTCTGTGGAACACAGAAAGAGATGTTAGGCAGAATGACAGCTCCAGTCACTTTCATTATATGGGGAAAAAAGTCAGTGAAAGTGAATGGTTACTGAATCTGTTAGTCCATAGAATTCTGTCTACACATCTCCATTTGTGTCCCATGTAAGAAAGAAAGTTATACGAATTCGGCAAAACATTAAGAGAGAGCGAATTACTGGATATTCAGTTTACAGCTTGTTTTTTTTTTTTAAACCATTTATTATAATTATCTGTGAAATATACCACATTATCACCTGTGAAACAAGACAATATCTAGTGAAATTGAGTGACTGGTATTGGACATTTTTTTTTTATATGACCACAATAAAGATTCCTTTGATCTCTGGTTTAATTAATCCGGTTGACTGAGTGTAAAAAAAAAAACAAAGTATATATATATATATATATATATATAATTTTGAGCTACATTTAGGTTTAGTTATAATTAGTTTTATATTAACGCAGTAGAAGTCTTTGGTATATTGGCTTTATGTTGGTAGGCGTGGATGTGGATGTGTGAGAGATGTGTGCACACTTCTACATGCTTGTCAGCCGATTGTGCGTTTGCTTTTAAGCCTGAATGGATGAATGAACAATTTTAATCGTTTTTTATATATATATATATATATATATAAAATTCAAAAGGCTTTATAATATGTAGTGTATGCAGGTTTTCCTCCTTTTTTTGTTTTTTTCCTCCTTTTTAATGTTTTTTACATTTTGAGTGCAAATTACTGTTAAATACTTGGTGTATTCTAACATAGCAGTGAAAACGTTTTTAATTTTAATCTCACATGGTTTAAGGTGTTACTGTTTTTATTTTTCCGTCACTTTTGCTCACTGAGCAACAACAACATTCCGATACGTTCATATTTCAAATGTTTGTACCTCCAATATAAAAGTCAGCCTGAAGTTCTCTAGGTCTGTAAGTTTATGTTTGTGGAGATGTGATGACTGATAGTGATTGAAGGTTGCTATTGTTGGGGCCCCTTCGTCTGTTCATTATGAGAGGTTTATGGCATCCTTTGCATTGTCTGTATGCTTCTTATTCCCTGTGCTGATCCTACCTTGAACCTTTGCTGCCGAAGGCCTGCAGAGGACGGGGGGAGGTTGGATTTGAATTGCAGCGCAAGTTTGTGCTTGCTGTAACCTTCACCACCCTCCTCCTCCCCTCGGCCTGTGCACCATACTGTTTGAATTCAAATGTGTACCAGAGGAGAAAGTTCCTCACCGGTTCCCTGTGAAACTGTACTCCGGCCCCCTAATCCACCTCGGCTGCCACATCGGGCCATTCTAAATTTGAAGTGTAACGAAATTTCCTGTGTTAAATGAAAACACCGGTGAAATAAAAGCCAAGCAGTGTATGACCACCGGTGAGCAAACATCTCACACCTGGCCTCGTGTCACATGGGGATATTGAGCAGTTTAGGTGGCTAAAAGACTTGCTTGAGGGTGGAAATGATACAGTAATATTTTTCATGAAAATGAATGAAGTGCATAATCGTATGTTTAAATTAACAGATTTGATGACAGTCTTTGTAGTACGGATTTCGCATGTTGGAGAACTTACATAGTGTGAATGTGAAATATTGCTGCAGGGGCCTGATTGTGTTGCACTGTTGGTTTTGGTTTTGGAATCTGGCCAGATGTTATATGAAACGACGGCATATCTTAGGTCTGTTTGACAATGCAGGGACACAAAAATTACAATATATTTTCAAATCTTGACTGATACGAAGAGAAGTTTGTAAAGTTTAAGGCTAGATAGGGCCACAACAACATGTTCCTCTCTATTAAGGTGAAGTGTTAAAGTCAACATGAAATCTACACTGACCGTATTTACTTTTTTAAAACACATTTTTGCTTATCGTTTTGAATGATTCATCGGTGCACCTGATTCCAAAGAAAAAAAGTTTGGTCTTGGTAATCTTTCATCAAAATATAATGACGTACTCCACCTCTGAAACATCTTTCCTTTTTCTGTTGATTGAAGAGTTCTAAATAGAAACATCACATCTGATCAATTCCTGATGGATAAAATCAAGTCCCGTCCTACATTTCCATCTTGTTGAATATCCTATTGCACTAAGAAATATGTCACGTTATGAAAATAAAATGTTCACTTTAATTTGCTTAAACCCAAAATACATTTTCTGTTATTCTGTCATTAACTCACCCTCATTTTGTTCCAAATCCATATTGACTTTTATGGAACATAAACAAAGATATTTTCGGAAAAGTCTTAGTTTATTTATTTATTTAATCATTTGGTTACCAAGATTCTTCAAAATACCTTCTTTTGTGTTCTGTAAGATTAAGTAGTAATACAGGTTTGTAGCAACGTGGGATGAATAAATGATGACAGCATTTTCATTTTAGCTGAACTGTCTTTTTAGTTTACCTGAAAATTAGTGCTGGCAAAAGTGGCCAATCTTATCCAATGACAGAGGAACTTGCAAAGTTAAACACTGAACATCCAAAATGACCTTTTTGAAATAGCAATGAACAATTAGAAGAATTAATCAAGACAGAGAAAAAAGTGAGAGCAGAATAAGATAGTTACGGTAAA